AAGATTAAGGGAAATAAGCCGCCGCAAAAACACACATACTGCCTTTTAAGTCGAACAATTTCTCCGTGATTCATAACTCAGTGGAGAAGCATTTCGTCTGTATCGTGAGCTCAAGTCACAAAAGAGCGCCAGAACTTCTTGGTCAATGCAATACATCCCATATCCCGTACATGGGACGGGCGTGTCCACGTTCTATTTAAGCGCGGCACCATCGGTGGATAGTTGTCGGATAGAGCAGTGAGGAATAAGAGGTATTTAGTGGATCCCATTGCTCTATTGAACACACTTCGCCTGCCTACACAAGCGAACCGGCAGTTGTCTGGGATCGCTACGCTCACATCTGGATTCTTGGACCGCCCTCGTCGGCCAGATATGGACTGTACTAGCTACTTCGCACGCGTCACAGCAACCTTTGGGCCCACGCTAGCGCTAACGTATACACTCGAAATCCCTGAGATGTGGTAGGCGTGGCCGCGTACTCCAACTAGACGCGGCGGTGACGGTGCTTTTGGTGCGATATTCTCATTTCGGGCTAGTTATAAACATGTCTTCGTCCAACACAGAATGACAGTTGTCTCAAAATGAATGATCTCACGAGTAACCCGTCCTATCGTTCCACGTTCAGTGCCACGCCTACTCCGTCTCAGGGATGAGGGATGTATGTCAACTGTCTTCTGCCGCTGTCGCCCGGCCCAAGACTAACAAAGGGAAAGGGACTCATATCATCAATAGAAAAAAAAAACAGCGCCACGCGTGACTAATCACTAGGTAAGAAATCTCGTTTTTCCAGAAACCGCTTGGATTTTACGATTCGCTGTCGAGATGGCAACATTATGGTAGCCAAAGAGGGCATATTTCTTGCTTCTGAATATTTCCGTGACTATTTGGAATCGGCAGATCACAACGACGCCAATTTCGGTGACGTCGACAAACAGGCGGTTCTCATCGTGAGTCTTTTATTCCGAGTGAGGCGTGAAAGAACTTTATCACGATTTAGACCGTGAGTATTAAGCTCGGGACATTCATTTGAGCGTTACCCACGGACTGGATTTCTGCTAAGAATCACAAAGGCCTTGTAATGGGCACTAGGCCACTGCACTAACTCATTTTCAATGTAGGCACTGACGTTCACATTGACGGGAACCATGGCGCCACCACCGATTTTGTCCCCATCACTCGTGCACGATATCATCGAAACTGCTCGAAGGTAAGGACAACTGGTCTCTCTTGATGTTCAGGAGCTTCCCACTCTTGGAAATTGGCTTTGCTTCCAAACTGGCTACGTCGAAGAAACTTCATCTTACACACACACACACAACACACACACACACACACACACACACACACACACACACACACACACACACACACACACACACACACACACACACACACCCTTCCTCATAATTTGCAGCCTTTCATTTAACATGCCCCCGGTAAGTCTAAAAGACCCTAGTTTCCACTTCATCTATTTAACAGTCGATATCTATAATCATTGTAGGCACATCAGCACCATTGGTACCCTTCCTTTTTGTGACGAAGTACGACCCCACCATCCTCCTTACCAGGAGGATTCCACAAGATAATGACCTGGTCTGGAGGGGTAAGGCAAAAGTACCAGAAATTATGTGAAAACGCCATACAGGCCCGTGGGATGAAGAGATGGACCACAAGGCACCTTCCACCGAAATACGCCATGCAGTCGCCTTCCGTTCAGAATCGCTGAGTAGTTCGATTGTTGTGGGTTGTACAAAATGAATTTGTCCTACACAACTACTTGTTGGGGGAACTGACCTTGGTGAAAGTGTTCTACCTTCCCAAATCAGAGCGACCAATTAGCCGTCAACGAAAGGATCTCAGGCTCAGTGACGTCTCCAGGTTTTTGTCCAGAAAGGCTTTGTGCTTACTAGCGACACCACCATTGCTCCATCTTTGGCACAGTAGAAGGGAAAAAGTCTTCCTTAATCTCGTTTGTTTACCCTCAGAATGCGAGCGCTCAACTTCCCGAAACTCCGAAATTCACTGGAGGCAGAAGCTGTTAAATGGGTTGTGAAGGTGAGAGATTGAGTGATTATGAGGTCATTTCTCCAGCCTGCGTGTGCAATTGGTTTGCAACTTTTTATCAAATTCTCACATTTGACAGCATTTGAATACCGCCCATACCCGAAGTGATTCGATACTTTTGTTCCAGCAAAACGAAGATCTATCTGCGGTACTTTTGTGGTTCATCTGTTCGCATGATTGTGCCATGCCGAATTTGCATATGGTCTGTTTGGCCTACATTTCCAGTACACATGCGGTACAGTACATGCGTGACTATACCGATGGTTCAATGGTGAGTAATCCCTGTACTGATTTGAAGAAAGGAGGGTCACTCATCTGGTAATTAACAAGCCTTCTGGTGTGCGCCACGCATTCGAATTCCACGCAAATTTCCCAGAGACATAGTCCACGCATCTCGCGTGGGCGGAGTCAGAGCTAGCACAAAGTGTATGTGTCTTCCTCATTTGCGCGTCATTCCCCTTTGATGGTAAGACGATAAAGAGGAGGAACGCGCCTGTGAGAAAGGCACAATAGTCATGAGCTTACCCCACTTCCGCCCACCCCATTGCAACGGCGCGTGTACATAAGTGCCTTCAATTTTCTGTTGTAAACAAATGCGTGGCGTATACCAACCGGACTGAGCAGTGTCGAACAAATTTCAACTTTGTTTTTTATATATTAGTTGGTCTACCACTTATTTACTTGCTCATAATATAGTTTATAGTATTTCAGGTAATTTCCGTAGCCAAAGCCGATCCGGAGATGGCCGAGAAACTTAACAAACGTCAGGGTATTCTGCGACCGACTCCACATGTTCGTCGTAACCATCCTCCTTTTTGTGACTCTGCGTCGATATTGATTGGATTTATTGATTAGCATTCATGTAATCGATCAACTTCTAGCAACGAATAATGACAAGCATACGGTGCGGTGGGAAGGTGCGTACCGTGGCACGAGTTGAAGTTCCTTCATAAGCAAAACAGAAGACGGGACAGCTGAAAGAAATCAACGTCTCATACAACATCTTCGATTTAAATAAATTTTTATGAACATTTTTTGAAAGACTGGATAGAGTAGAGGTACGTGGACAAGAAATTCGCAATATGCCGCGGTGGTGCGCGTAGCAAGCGACGGCGCGCTCGGCGGACGAGTTGTAGTGCCCATTCGTTTGAATTTGAGAATTGAAAGAACGGAATAATTCGATATTTGTCATGGAATCTTCTCTTGCCTTGAATCAGTTCGAGTTTGGCTGCCCCAATCGACAAACAACCCACATTGAGAAATTATCGCTCATAGTCACATGATGCGCCGCAGATTGCGATTGTCTTGTCCACCTCCCACAGAATAGGCCGTGCTTCTCGAAAACTGCCCTTTCTCAATGGTAGTGTGGAAGCCTATACAGATAATTGAATAGACTTTCCTCAGGTGACATTGTGCGCAGAACACACATTCCACGAATTCGAATGTTCGAAGAAATGGGCGGAGACTCAAAACAGCTGTACCTTTCTCGCGCGCACTCTTTCTAACACCGTAGAGAGGCGCGTCGATGAAACCACCACCAGTGACCGTGATTCTCCGCGTATTTTTCCGTCCACTCGGTCGTCGTGGGATATAGACATACCCTGCAAACGATAAGGCGTCTAAAGGGGCGTGAATTAGCACGCCCAAAGCAGTCTTTCTCGCCAGTTGTTGCGAACTGAGAATGGCATCAATGTTGGAAAAGAGCACCTTGGCAGCCTTCCAGTCCACACCCCATCACACGCCCTATCGTTTGCAAGGATCATGGCTGTATGCATTTGGAGACAAACTCTACATTCACCTCCGAGGAAGGTCTTTGCCATGTGTGAGGTGAGTGAATCCGCAGCTGCTTTAGCGTTTCACTTTCTTCACTCAAACATTCGCGCAAATGGGGCTAGAGGCTAGTAGTATCAGCGCGCCGTCTGGGACTCCGCCCCAGGAGAGCACGAGTGGT